AAAGTCTTTGTAAATAGGGAAGGGTGGAGGGGGTGAAGGGAGGGCTAGGAATGGGGAAAAAATAAGAACCAAGATGCATCATGTAAAGGTGCCAGTTCCCAATGAGACATGTAATTGTGTTGTATACCTAAAATGTACCAATAAAAGAATTTAACAAGAAAAATAAATACATAAAAATAAAATATCTTATGGCCTAATGTGTGTGGAAGTTAATTGGATTATGGAAGTGCTAAACTTATCAATGGATTAATGCATTGATGAGCATAGTCATTAAATGTTAAGAGGTGAAACCTGGTTGGAAGTGGGTCACGGGGCATACCTGGAAGGATGTGTTCTTGTCCCTGGTGTGCTATGTCTCTCTCTTTACCTCCCTCCCTCCTTCCTTCCTGGCTGCCATGAGTTAAGATGTTTTCCTCTGCCATTCCCCTCACTCATCCTGTTTCTGCATTGAAGCCAGCAACCATGAACTGAAACTATCAAGTTGAATCTCTATTCCTTTAAGTTGTGGGTTTTGTGTAATTTGTCCATACATTTAGAATGATCTCAAAGTTGGATTGGGGTTTACTGAAAAAGGAAGTTAGAGTAATCTATGTAGTAGTGAGCCATAATTTGACCAATCAATATACAATATAAACTTGTATATAAATGTTTGTATACTGAAATATGTATTGATTATATATATATATGTATATGTATATGTATGTATGTGTGTGCGTGTGAATAAATATTCACATATTATAGTTGGGGGAGTCTAGAAGCAACTAAACTCCAATAGCAATAGGCACACTTAAAATTCAGATCTTTCTTTCTATCACCATTCTCCAATAAAAGGAACCAGGCTCCTTGGAGAAATACAAGATTTAGGGCTGGAATAGGAAATAAACTGCAAATAAGTCACCTGTATTTTATAGTGGCAAAAAATAATAAAATGTTAAACACACAGACAGTCACACATACACACTCTCTCTCTCTCTCACACACACACACACACACACACTAAAATATGTGCATACTAAAGGGACACAAGAGCCAATAAAAACTTTTATGAAATGTGTAAGAGTTTAAACAAAGATAGAGTAGTATTGGAGTATATGGCCTAAGGTTAAAAGTAAATAATGATAATTCCTTACTGATAAACAAATGATTGGATAAATAGGAGAACATAGAAAATATATGGGGTGGAAGAACTAAATCAGTAAAATATATACTATCTCTTTCAGGAGATAGAATGTAGTCCCCACCTCTTAAATTTAGGTCGAATGTAATAATTTTCTTCAGAAACTACACAATTAAAAAGAGAGGGCTTGGAAATTGGCTATCCATTGGTAAAAGCTGACAAACACAGCCGGTTAGATGGTTGATATTATTTCCTATCTTCAGTGTTAAGTCATGTTGGTGATAAATATCCTTGATAAGATACTATTCATTATCATTTTTTTACTGGAGACACATAACTCCAGAGATAATAGTCAGAAAATATGCAAAAGTAGAGAGATCATGGAAAAATTCATAAAATTCCCAATTGTAATGCATTCTATAAAATAACTGTTGAATATTCTTCATAACAAAGTCTCCAAATCGAGAAATTGGTCATTACAAAAACAAATTTAAGAAATATCATGATTAATTGATTATTTGTATGTGTTTTCCAAAAGGAATCGCTCAATAGAAAAGTGGCATAGGTACAAACTAAGAAAATACAAATGAAGGAGAGACTTTAGTTAATAATGTATCAATATTATATGATGTTATATAATTGTATGTGATATTATATATTATAATTATATATGATGTTAGTGTTAATTATAACAATGACCATAGTAATATAAAATACTCTAAAACTGTGAAAAAAGTATTTCTTTATTACTTTCAAGTTTTGTGCTAAATCTAAAAATTTTCCTTATCTATATTTCACTAAAAACCTTAAAGAAGGATTGACATATTTTAAACAGGTAAAGAGAATATTTCCTATTTCTTATTTTTTTACTACCCAGTAAACCAAGCTTTAATTTTTTTTTATTTTATTCATATGACTGCTGACAACAACTTATTTCTGGTGGTATGTAAGCTAAGTGAAGGTAAATCTTATCATGAGGTTTTGTTGTTTTTTAATAATAATAATAACACTTTGTATCAATGTGATGCTTGTAGTACCCAAAGTCCTTGTGCCTTCCTTCCTTGATTTAAATATAAAATATTTAATTATAAAATATTTAAAATAAAATTTAATTTATATTAATTATAAATTTTAATTAATTTAATTAAGATTTAATTATAAAATATTTTGATATTTCAAAAATCAGTAGTCATCAAATTGAGTCCTATTTACATGGGGGCCTTTTATATTATCCCTCTTCACAAATGAACAGTGGTTGTGGTGTTCCTCATTTCCTTACTTCAGAGTGAGAAACTATTTTCCTAGGTAGCAGGAGAGTTTAGTGCTAACAGGTCACAAGAAGTGGCAGTCTGCACAAGACGCTGCCCATCTAAATGTTTCCCTTCATTGGTGCTGGCTGCATCCATTTAGGGATTAGCTTGAAATTTAAAATTCAAGGCTATTTCCTCTATAAGGACATTTGATCATCCCATCCCAATTCCAATCATTGGTCTAAATTATTTGAGCCTTCCTTAGAACTGCATCTTAGTTCACCATTTGTGTTCTTCTAATTCAGCTTCCCTCACATCCTAACAGTTGTTATGATGAGAACTTGCCAATAAATCTCCCACATCTTTGCTACATAATTTACTCTATGGGAAATCTTCCTAACGAACAAAGCATCAGGCTGCATGTCTTATTAACCCATTTGTGCAGGAATGTAATTTTCTCCAGATAGAATAAATGTACCTATTAGCAGCAAGAAATAACTCAGATGACTGGCAAAGAATCTGAACCAAAATGTTTGGAAGTTCTATGTCTTTATCTGTGGGAAGGAAAGAAAAAACCCTGCTTGTTAGTCTGTGTCCATCAGGACAAAATGCAATGTGCTGAGAATTGTGTATCAAGTCTGCCAAGGATCATCCACTACATAATAAATCACTAAACAACCCACTAGAAAGAGGATTGGCAAGTTGCCATTAGTCAGGCTCTGTAGTTGGCCACCCCCTAGGACTTAACACAGTTGCATAAGTGGAATAGATAAAATGTAGGAGATAGGGAAGATCCAAGGCCCAAAAGTACAATCTCTTACTCTCCCAAGCTCTGCTACCTAATGCTGCTGTGAAATAGCAAATTTCCAAGGAACAGAGAATTTTACTTCATTTGGTATCACAACATTTTCCAGAAGAATTTCCAGTTGCTTAATGAAAATTTGAACATTGGACTCTACCAGTGTGGCAAGAGAGCTGTTTGTTCATTACATATAATGCTGGTCTGCCTTTCCTGTGTAAGAACTTGGCCAACAAGAATTTACTGACCATTTGAACCACACTGATCTGGTGTCCCTGCAAAATCATGCTTTAAAAAAATAAACATTTTTCAGCAAAGGAGTTATGGCAGTAGGGACATCCTTGGGATTCACTGATTGTCTTCCTTACTGTACTGCCAGAGATGAACAGGCAATAAAAGGAGACAGCATATTGTCAAGAGTAATTAGCCCTGATCATCAAGGAAAGGTAGGGTTGCTGTTATCCTATTGACTTGCTGCACTTTCTTTAAAAAATTGTCCTGTGGCTAACGTTCTGCTTTGCTGTAAATTAGAGCCATGTATTTCTATATCTGTTTATAGAGAGCTATTTTGTTCTATTGTTTTTATTTGTCTATATTTGTGCTAATGCTACACTTTTTTTCCTTAAATTCTTTTATTGGTACATTTTAGGTACACAATACGTTTACATTTATCATTGGGTGCTTGCACCCGTACATGATGTATCTCAGTTATTTTTTCCCCATTACCTGTGCGCCCTTCACCCCCTTCACCCTTCCCTATTTACATAGACTTTGTTTCTATTTTTTCTTTTATCATAATTTTTCCTTTCCCTTCTTTCCTTTCCCCTTCCCTTCCCACCACCCCTACCCCTTTATAGCTTTTCTTCCTATTTCAAATTATCAGTTATTCATTTTAATCATTATTTACACTTTCAGTTTCTCACTTTTTATGTGTTGTGTTTCATAACAAATTTTATTATTTAGTGGAATATATATAATCTTCCTCTTCTCAACAAGTGTCCTGGGCTTTCTTGACCATTTCTATTTCTTATAAATTTTAGAATTTTTTGAATGTTAGTAGTTGATATCACTATAATTTTAATGTGATTTCAATGAATCTATTCAAAATATTTGATCTCATTAAAATGTCTTCAATCTATTAATACTTGTATTAAATTACAGCTTTCATTTCTTTATTGAATGTATATGGTTTAGAATTTGATCTATGGACTGCTTACAAATTTTGTTAATTTTACTACTAATCTCTTCATGCATTTATAAATATTTTTCTTCTAAATTTTCACTATCTAAATGTTGTTGCTGGGACATAGAAAGTTAATTTTATATAATATTAAACTTTTCCTCATATCCAATGTTATAAATCTACCTTTTAAGTGAAATAATTCTGTATCACATATCTTTGGATATTCTATGCACATAGTTTGTCTATGAAAAATGACAGTCATATTTTTATTCCAAGTCTTTAAAATTTATTTCATATTCTTGTTTCTTTTCTCTGGTTCAAAATGGTTGTAGAATGTCAAATTTAAAAAGGGATAATGGAAAGTTTCTACTCCAGGAAAATGGTGAACAGTAGTTTTACTCAGAAAGAATCAAAGTACACATAGACAGTGAGGCACATTCTTATAGAAGCCAAGCTGTAAACGCTTGACAGCTGCCTACAGTCCCACTTGCTGTGGCTCTGGAAGTCAGTGTTAATAGGAATTCTTATCAATGCAGAAATTCAGTTAGTTAAATCCTTTTATAATTTGTGGAATGTACACAGACTCCTTGGTAGAGGAGATTTTCCTGGCCAACTGGTTCAGAATGCCTAGAATAAAACATAAGGTGATATCAATATTTAGAAGTTCTGGTTTAGGGAGATCCAGAATGCCCATCAACACACCACAGACATTAAACAATTGAGTAGACAAAATAGTCAGCAAGTTTTAGTCATTGACGCAACCCATGTTGGCATGATGGTCATATGAACAAAGTGGCCTTAGTGGCAGCAATTGAATATAAGTATGAAGATATCAGTGTCAGTATTAGGCTGCTAGCATAAGCAAATTCTACCTTGCTGACATAACATAAAGGCCAGGTCTCCCATAGGTATTTAATTCTCAAGCAGATCAAATACACTCTTGATTAGAAATTAACTAAACTGGACCTTGCAAATATGTAATGTTGGCTGGGTCATTTGCCTGTAATTTCAAATGAATTGATATTGCTTTCTCATTCATGGGCTCAACATCTAAGTTCTACTAGCATAAAATCACACATATTATCATATGACAGCAAGAAAGACTGAGGAAAGGAGTTCATACCTGTGGTATACACTCAACATACTGTACCACCCAGGTGGTTCTACCCTCTTGAGCAATGTAGTGGCTTGTCAAGAGCAGACATGTAGTACAAATTTGATATAGTCAAGGATGGAGTGCTATCTTTCCATATCCAGAGTACACATCGTATCAAAGATGTTGTATTCATGGTATAAGATATACATGGGTCTGGAATCAAGTAGGAGATGCATGAGTGTTTCCTGTTACCAGCACTCAGAATGACCCATTACTTTGTGTTTCTTATTTCTACATTTTGGCTTCTGTCGGATTAGAGGTCTTAGTTTCTAAAGAGGATACACTTTCTCCAGGGGACAAAACAGAAGCTCTATTTAGTTAAAATACAGGCAGAGTCTGCCAAAAATATATATATACTCACTTCAAGAAAAGAAAAATCTGGCCAGGGATTTAGTTCAGTGGTTTCGCCACCTGCTGCGCAAGTGCAAGGACTTGAGTTCGATCCCTGGTACCAAGAAAAAAAAAGAAAAGAAAAGAAAAGAAAAATGTGTAGAAGGTGCATATTCTCCTAATTTAACACCTGCAGACTTTCATCTGTGGGGGACCCTAAAGGAGGTCATATATCATGGAAAATCAACTATCTTGCCAGCCCTTGGAGAAGAAATGGAAAATGCATGTGCAGCAATCCCAATGGATATGTTGACCAAGGTTACACAAGCAGCAGTTCACCGTACTAATAAATATCTGAAAGCAAATGACCATCACTTTGAGAACCTCTTGGAGTTGGAGAGGCCAAAGGTAACTTGTATTAATCTCACGATGACTAAATAAATTTAGTATGAAAATATTTATATGAGTTTATTTTCCTGAAGGGTGCATACATTTTTTTGTTGTTGTTGGACTCAATATATTGTTCCAGTGATATTTAGATTTTTGAGGAACAGGGAAAAGTAGGCAAAAAGAGGAATCACTGATTTATCTTGGACAATCCTTGATCACCAGGAAAAGGTAGAGTTGCTCTTGTACAAAGGAAGACTAGATAGTCTATTTGTGGAAAAGACGTGATCTATTTGCTGCTTTCTTTGTGAAATACAAATGTATATATGCAGATGAGGTAACCATTGGAGGTATGGTGACAGGATTCTTGTGCTCTTCATTGCTCAGGATCTAAGGAACTATACAAGTAAGAAACTGAAGATAAAAATGAGAAGTTGAAAGTGAAAGACACTTACAAAGGAAAGTCAAAGCAGAAAATAAACAGAATTAATTGCAGTTTCAAGCCTGGAAGTTGTAGTAAAAACTGAAGATAGTCTCACTAAATATTTTAGTCTAAATTTCACTAAGGAAAAGACAATCATAGGAGTCACAATAAAGAGGTTCCCCAAAATTTTTTTTCAGAACTGGAGATAATTGAGCCAGTAGGTAGGCTATGGTAGGCTTGGTAGTAGACTACATATATCCCTTTTCAAGGGAAACTCATTGTTTGGTTTTAGGGAGTTCACTCAACAAGCAGATAGTTCAAAATCTTTCCAGGATAGAAACAGCCAGCAAGTACTGCCTTATGGAGGAAAGACAATTTCCATCTGAAATCTCAATCTATGCTCTTTGCAGAGTTACCTGAATATTTATTGCAGCTCAAATTCTCTCTCTACCAATCCTCCTTTTACTCATTCTTTTCACAAGTGTAAGTCTTACAAATATGCTTCAAATTTTGTCTTAATTTTTGCTTCTGGGGTGTGTATAATAAGGCATTCACTGGAAGGAATTAAAACAATCAGACTTCTGTAGTAAACTGTTTTAAAAAGGTAACATTTTTTTTAGGCTAAGATGATTCCATACAGGCATTAGATATTTTGATTTTTAAAGGTTAAATGCATCCTGCAATACATCTTAGAAACACATAAGCCATGAATGCAAATTTGCTCATTTAACAAAACAACATTTACTTCTAGCACAGCTCAGAAAAACGAAGTGCTGGGAAAGAAAACGTTAGCACGCTTGCTATATTCAACAGCATAAATCTGCATGTGATAGAGTTAACACCAAAATCAGCACTCACATTTATTTTAAAAAGTGTAAATGTACTATTTCTTGAAAATACTTCTCATCCAGCATTATTTATTCACAAAAGAAAATAGAATTCTTGGGTTAAAGAAGTCAAATCTTAGTGGTAAATTTAAACATTTAGAAGTCTTACTTGATTTTAGTAATATTTTAAAATAGTTATATGTGATAGTTAACTGATTGTGTTAACTTCACTAACAAATATACAACTAAATTTGATCAGCATAGCTCTGGGTGTGGCTGGAAGGATTTACGAAAGACAGAAGACCCCCCTGGGTGTGAGTGACACCAACTAATAGTCTTGTCCCCTGAATGGAATAACGGAAACAAAGACAGAAGGCTGGCTTCTGTTTCTTTGGAGGAGCTCCCGTCTTCACCTTACCTTGGATGTCACCTCCTGGCCTCCAGCGCAGACTCCATCCAGCACCAACTGTTTAGCCTTCCATCCCGGACCCTTTGGCCTCCTGATACAGACTCACATAGGACGCTGCAATGAGCCCCAGGCCTTTGAGTGGATCCTTCAGATTCCAGCACACAGACAGCATTTGGCACTCTCCACACCTGCCTCTGAGGGCAGCCATTGTGAGCCCTGTTAATAAACAGTAAAGATAAACACATTTCAAATAAACAGAAATGAAAGTTAGAAACAAATTTATAAAATATTACATGTAATTAAAAATTATAGATAAAAGTCAAAACGCCTTCAATAGCCAAAGCCATCTCAAGAAGGAAAAAAACCCCAGAAAATATATTGGTTGACTTTGAACCACACTAAACTGAACTAGTGATCAAAACAGCACAGTATTGGTATAAAAATGGACATATAAGCGCAAGGACCAGAGTTTGATCCCCAGCACAAGAAAAAAAAAAAAAAAAAATGGACAGATAGACAATAGAAAAGAAGAGCAAGTCTACAAGAAAAACATACTTTTACACTCAACTTTTTTCAGTTGTCATTTGCAAAAATATGGTCAGAATTCAATATCATTATGTTGGGTGAAATAAGGACAGAATTTTGAGTACAATGTGAATGCTTTCATAAGTTAAATACAGAAGAGTTGATCTCAGAGAGTTAAGATTAACTAGAATGGTGGTCAGGAGAGATCAGGGAAAGTCAGTGGGGGTGGAGGAAGGAAAAGGTTGATCAGGTTGATCGATGAGGTCTAAGGTAAAGTCAGAAAGGTGCAAGAAGTTCCTGGAGTGCCACCTGAATGAAGTGAGGGCAGTAGCATGACTACAGAAAAAATATTTCACTGCAGATTTTAAAAAACTAGAAAAAAGTATTGTTGAAAGTTTTTAGCATAAGATTCGATGCAGAGGAAAAGGATTTATTTTTTTTAATGGTAGTTTTTATTTGCTACCAAAATTTTTATTGTGAGAAACACAAAAGGTATGACAAATGTACAAATTTTCTTTTTGCTTCAATTGACTGAGCTTGAGTATAAGTGAATAAAATGGACAGTAACATTCCAACACTAATTTTGAAAAAACATTGAATCCCATTATTTGACAATAAATACCTAAATTTCCATTCTAGCACCCAGTGAGACATCCAGTTTCCAAAGGCTTATTGGTCTGTAACCCTCTGAATTTTCTGACCTGTCACCTTTGCCATTGCAACAGAATCACCAGTGCAGTGCTCATTCTCCACACAAATCTTAGAATGAGACACACAGTGGATTGACTGATTCTGGCCTCAGAAGCCCTGGCTCAGAAAGCATCCCTCACTTGAGACACTTTTAAAAATAGGTTCCTAATGATGGGGTATTTACTGGAAGTTGTGTTCCCTGAATGACATACCTTACATGACACAAACACCTACTTTTCTATTCTCTTTCTCAGGTGGGAAGGGCTTGGATGAGTGGACTAGTATTTTCATCTGCTTTAAAGGGAACGAATGAAAATGATTTGTTTTATTTATTTGAAATAACATTTATATGTCCTTTATATGAGATAGCATTTCACACTTACTACTGTGGATATAAATAACATGACTATAACTTCTGGAAATGATTCATAATAACAACAGATACATGCTTCCACTTTATCACTTTCAAAGTAAGTATGAGACATATCTGCAAACAATAGTTTATCCACTATGAGGGTGAACATATCCATACAAAGAATATTCAGAGATATTCAAGTCCTAGATATTAATCCAGAGCAATTATATATATATATATATATATATATATATATATATATGTAAGGAAATAAGATGTTCAAAGTAACAGATTTCACAATTGCTAAAAAAGGAAAAGCAAAACAAAAACAATTTTTCATCATACAGTGATCTCTAAAGTGTGGTATACTTGTGCAATGTATTTCTACGCAATAACAAAAAATAGCAAAGTACAAATTCAGATAGTATGAGGGATACATTACAATGTTTAGAAAGAAAGCACATTGTAGAAGATTCCAGATATGTTTTCATTCACATGGTCCACAGAAAGAGCACATAAATGAGCAACAGTACCCCAAAAATCATGTAAGAAATCAGGGCAATATACAGAAACTAGTGAGTTCATTACATCTGAGAGAGAAAGATAATGTAGTTGGCAAGGAACAAGCAATGGTTTTAAAAGAGTCTCATGATTTCCATTTTTTAATTAAAATCAAAACTATTAAAATGTTTCTTTCATTATTTGATGTTGATGATAAACTTGATTTATTTGAAACCACTATAAACTGTTAACATTTTATGTTGCTTTTTCATTCTTCATAAAAAAATAAACTAAATTATGGAAAATATCACCCTATATATAGATGAGAGTTCAGTGAGCCAATTGACATTCCTCATACAATATTATGAATATTTCAATTGCTCAGCAGCAGTAAATTCATCCAAAACATTGAGACAATCAAAATAGAGCAATACTGTGACCAAAAAGATGTTTAATTTCCCATTTGCTTTCAACTGAAATTTGTCAAACTTTCTTATTGTCACCTATATCTATATCTTATTGTCACCTATATCTCTTGTATTCAGTACTGACTGATATTTTGATATTCTACCATGTATGAAATGTATAAATTACAATTAAATAAATAAAGCACTCCTTAATTATGATTATATAACAAACCATATTTTGATAACAAAACTCCTATGAAATATTTGTGTAAGATTTACATTGCTTTTCAATGTAAAGATTCAAATTTTATCCTTAATTGTCTAGAATTTATCCGGTGGCTTTTTTTTCCTAAGAATTCAAGTGTCTTAGTGAGCCACAGGTTATTAAATCTTTCCTTTAATTCAATGAACAAAATATAGTCTTTCATTACAACAAAAGTCTGCAGAGAATATTCAAATTCTTGAATAGTTGCCTGTTTTTAGGCCACAACTTTCAAAAAATTACTGTTCTTGTTTCTTTTCTTCATGTTTCTGAAGAAACATCTGAACAAAAAGAGTTGAACATATTAATTGGAAAGCTATCATAGAATATTACTTCCTTATTCAAACTATAACATTCTTGCCTTCTTGTTCATTGTAACCCTGTGTTACACTTACCTTAAGTCATTCAGATAATCATCTCAATTCCTTTTTTGCTAGTTATGAAAATTCCTCTTTGGTATTTTATATGAATGATAATATTCAATTGGGTTTTAAATTAATATATGTTGAGGATATTTAAAATTTTAATGGAATTACTTGGTGCAAGCACTTAATTCCACCAGACCCTTCCATCCATTTATATAAATACAACCATTAATCATTTGTATTAGAATGATCTGATATGTCAATAGTATCATCTTTTAGACTCTCGAGTCTTCCACCCTCTATATGAGCTACTTAATTTCATGCTTTAATAAAAATTCTGATTTATATTCTCTGCTAACTAATCTTTCGGACTCTGCTCAATAATAATTAAATTGTATAGTGCTTTCCAAAAGTTTTAAGCTGTTCTTGGAAAGAGTGGAGCTACTCACATAAATGTAAATGGCTTTATTGTGTATTAATGTATTTGAATTCCTAAATAAATTGAAATATACAATCTATAAAGCAGGGGAATATAAATCTGCACACATTTCAATTAGTTTTTGGTCTGCACTTTCCTTATGTTTTGATTGCAGAAATTAAATAGGCTTTGAGTTTGCAACATTTTCTTTGGTAGAACACATCATTGTATTTGCTACTGATGATGACTTTCTGTAATTTCCTATGGCTTCAACCAAGTAAAATTACTTAAATGTCTAATTCATTCTTTCAGTTTCAGCTTTTGTTAACTTGGAAATCTAATAGTAATATTGAGATTCATTTTTAATATTATTCATTTTTGAGTTTATGTAGAGCTAGCTTGCACTTAATAAGACCAAAAGAGGTGTTAAGAATCTAATTTCAAAAAAAAACTACATATGATCTTTAATTTTTAGAATTTTTCTAAACTTTTAATACTATTCTGAGTTTAGACTATTTTAGAATTCTGATTAAATATATATCCTTATACAATCATACTTATTTTTCAGAATATAAAGCTAAATAATCTAATCTTTTAAGCACTTTAGTATATAGAAAGGAATATGATTATTTGTGCTTTTGATTCAAGCTCTGCTATTTGTTGAAACTGTATGACAAAATAAATGTATAATATTCTATTTTTTAAAAATTAGTCCTTTCAACTTAATTCAAACTAAAAATTGGAAATATGGTGATGATATATATAACTGAAAACAGTGAGTAAAATTACTTCACTAGAAATTTATTCATTATAATTTTTAGGTGTATTCTATACCATAGTTCTGTGTATAACTTTGATGAAGTGGAAAGAGATAGAGAGGAACCTAAAAATACCTGTGGTTTTGGAAGAAAAACTATGATATTTCAGATATCTGCTTTTGAAATTCTACAAGCCTCATATCTAGATTTTCACCTAAATCAACTGTTTTGTTTCTGCTTATTTCTTTATTTAGTTTCCAATGGCATGTTCTTCCAGTTCCATGGGTGATTTATTATTTTTTTTATCTCTATGAAGGCTAAGTTTTTATAATATTGTCTGCTGTTTGCTTAAAGTATCTGCTGTAATTCATTTGTTATTTAGCTGAACTTTGTTTTATTTTATAATGTTTATTCTTATATAGTTTCTCATGATCTTATCTGCCAGAAATATTAAAGAATAAGACATTAAGCAAGACTACTTTGCAGTTCTACTTGCACAAGGATGCTTATCATAGGGATCTTACAGTCTGTGAATAACATTACTGTTCCTTGGAGTACAAACAAATGTTTTTCCTAGATATTTTTGATCTTACTATTTCACTAACAAATAAAAATTTACATTTTTCTAAACAAGATAAGAACTGTAAAGCATGTTAGTTGAAAAATAAAGACTATGATTGGGGGAATTGTTATATCATGCAATTGATGCGTTTTCTTTTAATTCTTCTGTATTCCTCTGGTGAGTAGTCATCTATATTCCTATTTGTATTGTTCAAATATCCCCCATTTGTACTTTATGCAGCTAATTTGAAGATTTCTGGTGTCATAAGAACTCGTCTGTCCTAAATTCTACAGGACACTTAGAAACATCTGAGCCCTTGTTGGTTTTTCTCTTTGCTTTCTCTGACTAAGTCAGATATTACTAATTTTATAGAAAAAAAATCATCCTACCAATTTTTCCTACTCTTTCTGTTTTTTGGAGATTCTTGATTTACCTGTTTTCAGATATTTTTATTATCTTTTTTGTTGGATTTAAGAAGATATTAGGGAAATATGTTGTAAATCAAACATTTTTAACATAAAATTCTTATTAAATAGCTGCAATTATAAAAAGAATATTATTTGAGCAAAATAATTTATAAGGTAAAATAGTAAATGTGCTGGCTCATTTTGAAGGCTTTAATATGTCTACTTTGTTAAAGAGGAGACAGAATGTTTCATATATTAGTTAGATGAAGGTGAACCTTCTTGGGAAGAAGCTATCATCACTTCTTTTGAGAAAAACTTTAGTAGTAGTTGTTAACTGCATGTTTCTCCAACTTCCCAATTATAAAAATGGTTTAAAAAGACAAGATATTTCCCCTTATGAACCATATAGCCTACAGTTATAACTCTCGCTAGAAATTTATTTTAATCTTAATTTTTGGTGAGGTGTAAAATTCAACTGTTTATGATAAAATGGAAACAAAGCTTTAGTAAATAAGGAGGGGAAGAGAAGATGAAGGGAGGGGAGAGGATTAGGAAAAAAAGAATAATCAAAATATATCATGTACATGTACAAATTCCCTGTGAAGAAGGTTATCATTTTGTATATCTTAGTTGTAGAGATAAACTTAATTAAAAAAGAAAAAAG